GGGAGCCTGCACCACCTCACTTGGAAGCTGGTTCCAGACCCTAGCCGCCCTGACCGTGAAGTAGCACCTCCTGATGTCCAACTTAAACCTTCCCTCCACCAGCTTGTGACCATTGTTCCTGGTCACTCCTTGCAGCGCTCGGGGGAACAGGGACTCCCCCAGCGCCTGCTGATCCCCCCTAAACCAGTTTATAACAGGCCACAAGATCCCCCCTCAGCCTTCTCTTTTGAAGGCTGAACAGGTTCAGGTCCCGCAACCTTTCCTCATAGGACCTACCCTGCTGTCCCTTGATCATGCGAGTGGCCCTCCTCTGGACCCTCTCGATGCTGTCCACATCCTTCTTAAAGTGCGGCGCCCAGAACTGGACGCAGTACTCCAGCTGCGGCCTGACCAGTGCCGCATAAAGGGGGAGGATCACCTCCTTGGACCTGCTTGAGATGCATCTGTGGATGCACGACAAGGTGCAGTTGGCCTTCCTAGCCGCCTCCCCACATTCATCAGGAGCAGGTGAAAAATAGTGGGATTTACAATGGAGGCAGAGAGGGGAGAGGAAAGAATTCATAGACTGGAGGGAAGCGAAGAACCCCAAATATCTTTGGTTGATATCATTTTTTATTTTCCTTTGGAAGATCATTAACAATTTGGTAGGAAAAATAAAAGGAAGTGGAAGCAGTATAAGTCTAATAGCTCTCTCCAGTTCTGCCCTTTACTCTGGGCACCACCCAGTACTAGCATGACCACTTGTAATGTCCATTCAGCTCTCGACTAGGCTTCCAAGGGGATAGATGCATTCTACATTGTCTGTGCAATTTAAAACTAGACTGGACAACACACTGGATAATAAATGCTAGGTCCCAGTTGTTGCCTATAGTGGGGAGAAAATAGATTAATATAGATGTTTTCCATCCTTAATTTCTGTGATTTGCCAAATTTAATTTTGGTCTGTGTCATAAAGTCAACATGTCACATTGTCAACTTTGATCAGCCCTACATCAAACACTGTTTTTAAGTCATCAAAATAAAAGGGGTTCTTGTCTAATTGTCTCTGCTTGAAGACACCAAAAGGCTTTTTATTGAAATGACAAGCACAAAAAGAGGTGTACAAAAAATAAAAGTTGAACCCACATGGCAGTAGCTGCCACAACAGCAAACTTCAGTTCCCCTTTGAGGACAGATCTTATTACTTCCTCATCAGTGTCAGCTCTGCTTCTGTACTCTCCTGCTTCTTTGCTCACATCTAGGCCACACCAAAACCTGCAGGTTTGTTTTCCTTTATAACATCCCTAAATTTATCCACCACCCTCTTCCTCTATAACTAAAATCCACATTTTGTAGTCATTTCTTGTCTCAGTTAAAGCAACCTCCTCTTCTCTAACCACCCACTTTCTCCTGGTCTCATTCCCTCTCTATCTGTCCAGTATGTTGCACTGAAAATCTTTTCTCCAGCCCTTTTGGGCCATAGCAGGCTTATATCCATATCTTCACATATGAAAATCACCTACATATTGGGTGTGTCTACATGTGACACTATGTCACCATAGCAATGTGCTACGGCAACATAGCATCCATGGGTGTCTGCGTGGGACCAGCAGCTACTTCACCATAGCTGCACACTACCCTCTAATAGCGTGCTGCTAAGGCGAAGTTGCTGCTAAAAATAACCATGTGCCGCACATAAGGTGCAATACAGATAGTTACTGTGCCATGCTTTAGTACTTCCAAAAGGAAGTATTAAAGCATGGCACAGTAACAATGTTGCCATAGGGCAACATGTAGACGTGCCCATTGTTTGTGCCTTTCCATTACCTGAATAGGCTTGCGTTCTTTCGAGATTAATCTGAACTCTGATTTTCCACAGTTTATAATGCCTGTTTCTGAGATAATCCCAATACCACTGAAACGTTGCAGCTCAGTTGCTGATAGGTTCTCAAGCTTCAGTTCCATCTTAATGTAGGTTTTTGTCCATAAACTTCATAAGGGGTATGCTTTGTTTTAATTACTACATTTTTCACATATGAGCAGGAAACATAAAACCAAAAAAGCCGTTGCTATGGGTCATACTGCTAATAATTTTAATATATATATATATACACTAATAACTTTCCTTTTCTAATTTTAACCTTTAGGGTCAGATTCAGTGGTATGTTGTGGCTACTTACTGTGCTCTGGAGTAGCACAAAACACCATCTGTTGGACAAGATAGACTTAGGGCATCTTTGCATCACTGGTGCAGCACAAAGCAGCCAGAGTTAACACCCCAGCTCTGATGTCTTCCTACCATCCACATTTCTCTGTGTACCCCCACCCATATTCCTGACTCCTAATTTCCCACATAAACATACACACCTCCAACTTCTCCTCCATCCTCTTCACCCTTCCTTGAACATTCCCCTGACAGGGTAAAGATACATGTATCCCAGTTTCTCCATACACCCATCCTATTCAATAGTTCATGTCCAACAGGTAGTTTTTAAAGAACAATTTTTAGAACTAAGAGTAATTTTCTGTCATAATATTTCATGACTGAAATTTCTCCTTCAACAGAGGCTGTCACATCAAATCTTTTCCTTCTGAAGAACTGTTCAAGAGTCATCCCTTTTCAAAAATCACCTTGTGTGTAGTACAGCTGAGGTTGCAAGCAGTCTTCAGTTAAAAGGGCATGCTCAAAATCACTGCCATCTCCCATTATTCTCTGTGGGACTGAGACAATGAACTGCTGTTAGCCTTGATGGCTCTTTTCTTCTGATTAGGCCAATGGGAGTGAAGTTAAACCCACAAAGAGATTTTATCTAGCCCTCTAAACAGAAGTTTATGTATCCTGCCTTAAATTTTGCCTGAAGATTTGCCACCCAGTGGCAAATGTATAAATGCTGCTTCCAGTCTGCCTTAGGGCCAAGCTTTGTTAATTCAGCCCACTATTAGTGAAAGATTGCTGACTCCTACAATAGGGGTTGCTTGGTCTTCCATCATCCCGCAGTGCCACACTCATCTCTCCACCCGCCTTGGGGGGGAAGGAGGGGCATGTGGGCAGAGAGTGGGACAGATAGCCAAGAAGTGCTATCACAAACCTCTTGGCTGTGGACCGCCACAAATCCTGAGTTTCTTCTTACTGTGCTGGCATCTGGCCTAAAGAACAGGCTAAGGTTGCCCTGGGATAACTCCTTACTCCAACAAGCTTCAGCTTCCTTGCCCTTATACCAGAGTTGCAGCTGCAGATGGCCTCCCTGTTGGGTTGTGAAAGAAATTTCAGATGCAGTGCCCCTTTCCGTAGAAAGGGCTAGCCTGTGATATCACTTGCCAGAAATCACTCTTTCCACAGGCGATCAGTAAGGAAACAAAACAACAAAGAATTTAATACCTAGAAGAAAAGAATTGTACGAGCAAAACTGACCACAAGTCTGAGAAGAGAAAAAGAAAACAAGTAAAGTTTCTTACCCTCTCATCTGAGTAAACCCTTGCCCTCTTGAGAGTCCTGACAGTGTTTCCAGAACTCAGCCTTCCTGCTGAATCGGTGAGCCCTTGCTGCTGAGACCCCTGAACCTCCAAAGCCTGGAGCCAGCAAACCATCATTCCATCCTAGCTCGACTCTACAGCCGCATCCACACAAGCACAGATGTTTGGTTCTCTCGGACCACTAGCAGCGGTGCACCTTGCGCCACCTCCAGTTGTCCCCAAGAAACACCTGTGCCATGTGCCCTCTGGCACGTGGCAAGTTACCCCGGGTGGGGGACGGTAGGCTGGGCCCAGCACTGGGCTGGCCCCAGCAGCCTTTCCTGAGGCCCTGGGGGCCTCCTGTGGCTGCAGCAGCAGTGATCCTGCCACTTGAAGTCTGGCTAGCAACAGGAGGAGCATGGCTGCAGCTGGCCCAGCTCCAGTTTTGAGCAACATGCGTTGTCCCCATGTGTGGTGCTCTGCTTTATTTTCCACAGGTTTTTTTGACACCCTAGATATCCAGGGGTCAAAAAAACCCAAACCCCGTGCTGCTCTTTTTCAGCGCAGAAAACACCTGAATGTGTGGCATGTGGCACCATAGACATGTCTAGGGTGCCACATACCACATGACCATGCTCATCTGGACGCTGCCTAAAAAGCCTCCAAAACTAGACACCTCCCAATGTTATTCTACTTGCTCACGAGTCACCAGAATCCCCCAGAAATTACTCTCTCTCAGACACCTGGCTTTCCTCTGGCTTGATGGACCCTTTTTCTTAGATGTCTTTGCACTAGAGAAGTTAATTTCCTTATTACAGGCAGACAGTGCCTTGGGTGCATGCTAATCCTCACCTGATTGTCTTCCAGTTACATCATGAAATTACAGAAGTACATTTATATCAAATATTATCAAATATACAGATATGAAAATGACAAATCTGAACCTACAAATAGTAGGTTACAAATAGAAATTACAAATAGAAACTAAACACTGCATCAGTCAATCTAATTTGGGAGAATATCCTTGCTTGCTACACAATGGGTGCATCTACACGTGCCCCTCTGTGCAGTTTGTACTGCACAGTCATTTAGTACTTGCTTTAGCAAATACTAAGTGACTGCTCAGGTCCCACCGGTCCTGCACAGTCCCAGCAGTGCACAGGTCGTTTCTTACCTTACTGCACAGTAGCGGCAGCATCACAGTTAGTGCCCACCAACACTACATCACTAGAGCGGTGAGCAACGTTGCTATAGCTCATCGCTACAGCAATGTACCGTCTCATGTAGATGTGCCCAGTGAACCCAAAAAACAACTCCATTTGGGAGTAAATCCATGACAAATGCTCTTCTCTGCTCTTGACTGTCCTCAGGAACCTCCAGAGAGTTGAGGCCAAGTGGAGTAGCATGCTAGGATTTGAGCGCTCCTGTCCCCTGGCACAAATAAAAAGAAGCTGGTTAAGACTTTCAGAGAAATATGAGATTATTTTGGATTACGTGAAGGAAACCATTTTTAAAAAGTATTTTCATGTCATCAGAGTAAATACAATTTAAACATTTCTTCCTTTCAGATGGTGAGAAAGCTGTTTTGAAAAATCACCTTGATCAAAATCCACAAGCACAGTGGAGCACAACAGACCCCACCAGAACAAACAAAGATCCTATAGAAGACATCAACTCTCCAGAACAGTAAGTAGAATATTGCTGAAAACAGGTTAGTGTTCAACCCAGAGCAGTTAGAACTGTGGATATTTTTAACTGATGATTCACTTTTCTAAATGTTTTGCCATGTAATCTCATGTGATAATTATATACCAAAAAGTTTCAATAACAAAGTCAAACATTCAAAAATTAGGAAATCCAAGCTACTTCCTGTTCTGTCAGTGGGAAGATTTTAACAGTGCCTGCATCCCCCTGCTTTACTTAAGGCAAGCTAGGGTGTTTTTGCTGTTTTAGGCACTGTGCCAGGCAATTGAGAGAGAGAGTTGTTTCGCAAAGTTGTTAAGAATAGGTTTGACAGTGGCATTCATTCCTAACCCTGAAACCTAGTAAAAACTGTCTAAATGGGTAACTGTTTCACTGATGATCATTTCAGCTAGCTAGAAAGAGCTAGCTGATATGCTTATTCAATGATCCTCACACAGACTATGAATCACCTTGTACCAACATTCCCAAATCTCCTCCATCCAGCTGCCAAAATCTCCATATTTAGTGCCGATACTCTCATGTGTTGATAATGTAAAACTCTAGAGCATAAAAGATGTTGTCAAGACAGAGTAAAATATTAACATGCAATTTAAAGTGACCTCATATTGGTAGGCTGTTTTTTTTTAATTTACCCGCAGTTGCTGATAAGTTACCTGCAATTTCTGGGCTGCCATGCTGGTGTCAATCAGAGTCTGGGGACTCTGCTACTGAATTTAGGCCTAAGTTTGTTCAGACTTCACAGTGCTTTCAGGGAAGGACAGTACCCTTGGTCTCTTGTAAATCCTACTGCCATAGAGCTACAAATGTTTCTTTACAGTGACAAATGAGGATTGCCATTAGGGCTGTGCGAAACAGCAGCATTCTGCTTCAACATCCATTTCGACAGAACAGTGTTTCATCTCAAGTTTTGTTTCAATTTGAAAACGCTGTTCTGTTCCATTTCATCAAAATGGTTTCACTGTTTCGATGCTATTTCAACGTTTCAATCGGGCTGAGTTCCCCTTCCCAGTGCTAGGATTGGGCTGGGGAAGGCAGCATGATCATAGCACTGGGGAAGGGAACTCAGCCGGGCTGCTTTGAAACTCAAAATGTTTCAAAACTTTCAAAACGTTTTGACTGAGCTCGTTTCATTTCAAGGCTGTTTTGAAGTCTTTCATTTCATTTCAATGTTGCTGTTTCAAGCTCAAAATGAGTCAAAACAGTGTCAAAACAAAACAGCTGGCAAAATTTCGCACAGCCCTAATTGCTATGCCTTCGGCAGATCCTGGGATCAAAAGCACTCCTTGAGAATTGCCATCAATTGATGCAATTTAGACTATCTCAGGGTGGCCCTCAATTGTTCCCAAGACTTGGTAAGTGTGGAATAAGGGTGTAAAGGTAGGACCAAGACATTTTTACCCCCTTCTGTTATGACAGGTGTTGCTTGGTACACACTAAGTCTAACCAAACTCACCCAACTTCTGTCATCCAAAAGGTTCAATAAGGGAGACACAAAATTACTGGCGAGATTTGGTGGTCAGGCTGTGTCTGGTCCTGCAGCAGGTACACAAGACAAATGGAAAGAAGAAAGCATACAGTTAGGTCACCTGCAGCAGTATATGGGGAGGAAGTGAGCGCCAGGACTTATCCCTGCACACACACGTCATGAGAGCTCTCGTTGTGGATAAGTCACTTCTGCACTCTTCTGATCCTATGTCAGTTGTGTCCCCTGACAAATTGGAGCTCGTCTAGGATGGTTTTTATGTTACCTAGCCAGAGACCGCTCTAAAAATCTGGGGGAGCAGCTGAGGCAACAGTTCCTGTGTCAAGAACACCTCCTTTCTTTGATGTAATACAAGCTGTATAATCGAGTGGCAGAAACATACCATTATTGTCCTGATGCGGGAACATCTACAGGGATCTAAACTGCAGAATTCAGAATCTGGTCAGGCAATGGGATCAACTGAAATACTTGGTTAATTTACAAAAAGGCATCCTTCAAGGACAGAGTATCCATGTACAAGCAGATGAAACCAGGGTGGACTAGTTTAATGTATGATTATTAGACCTCTTTGCATTTCAGTCTCATTTTTAAGACATACCATCATATGCATAGTTTAATATGTTATTAGAATCTTACGGCACTATTATATTGTGACAGACATTATTAAAAGATGTCCAGATGCTCAAAAAATCCAACTATCTTAATGCATATTAAACACAAAAGAAATAACCCTTGATGAATCCAGTAAATTTCCTCTAGGCTAATGATAGACCTGGGAAAGATTAAGATTCCATAAAAGTCTTGTATCGCTACTGCTTTTACTTTGTAATATCATCTAGCTCTGTGGAAAGAACTGAAATAGTGGTGCCAAATCAAAATCATAGCATCCTACCCTTACCCAGATGTAGATGGTTCTACAAGGTTCATGACAGTGGAGACTCAAGGGGCCAGGTTCTATTGTGCCAACTGGGCAACTAATTTATCAACAAGCAGGGAACAAGTTCATTGCAAAAGAAAATCACAGAACCTAAGCCAGCCCCTGACTAAGCAATGCTTCACCATGTCATAGATCCACACATGTATTGTAGACTATGATTAGTCACTTTTTCACCTTGATTGGCAATTTTTTCCATCTGCATCTAGTATTAGACCTATGCTATTGCTAGAATTTCATTTATTAATGAGATCCTGAAGGAATTAATTTGTTGTCCTGACCCATTGCTGCTCTGTAGATGGACATCCTTTGACCACAGTCGCGTGGAGCAGAATTACAGGAGTCTGCAATTGACCACCAGTATTAAATTCTCTGACACTAGCACCTAGTTAACCACACATTTTCAGAAGTTTCCATTACTTTTGGCTTATTAATTTTTGCATAGCCAACTTGAGGATCTCATACGCAATCAGCATGAAAGGCACTGGGTTCAAAATGTAGATCAGGAAAAAGCACTGCACATTGAATAACATTTCATACAGAGTGGCAAACTGGAGTTTAACTCTCATCTTCTTTGGTCTTTCACAGAGGCTTTTCATGAACTGTTTGTTGTATCTAATCTTCCTGCAGAAGGCTACTTCCCACCTCCGGAAAGTTTTCAATGTAAAGTAAATTTTAAGTCCGGTTAAAACAAAATTACCACCCACTGCAGCCAGCATTGAAAGACTCAATTAAACACGCTTTGTTTGTGGTATAGCTGACATTTAAATGGGTGAAAAATCCCATTCACACCATTATGCAACTAGATTCTCTTGGAATAGCTTCAAACAGCTCTTTGATGAAGAGCCTATAATAGTCAAACCAAGTAAGCAGTTTCACTGGTGGGAAAATAAGCATTGGCAATTCTGTGTTTGACCCTGGTACCATAAACAGAATTAAAATGTGCAGCAACAGGCTAATAAGGATTCAGTACATGGAAACAGCAAACTTGCCACCTCTATACTCCTTGGGAACGCAATATAATTCAATTGGTACAACAAAAAATGGGACAAAATAGCAAAATAAAACTAAATTGCTTTAATCTAATCCAGGAGCTATATTGCCATCAGTTGCATGATAAACAGTGTTGAGTTGTATTGCACCAAATATTTAAAAGAAATCTGCAAAGGCCTGTCCACTTACATGCCTGAAGTTAAGTTTCTCCTCGATATTTAGGGACACTGGGCTTTATTTTTCCAGGAGTGTTAAATACCCGCAGTTCCCATCAACTTCACCGTGGCACTTAGCATCTCACTGGGCTGTACCCAACCCACACAGATAGAAGCTTCCAGGGAGAGACAGCGAATTGTTCCATGGGTTCCCTTCTTCAATGCAGTACTTGCATTACCTATTGCAAAAAACCCGACATTTTTCATTTGAATGCCTTTGAGCTAAACTTACACATAGATTGGAACTTACACATTCAGTTTCTCTTTATCTGTTGTGCAGCACGGTTAAGGATTATTCTCTGAATGCGCTCTCTTGACTAGGATGCCCGTATTACCTATGGACATGTCATTGCCTAACGTTTCATTTCAAAGTAACTGAGAATTCCAGGAGGCTGCAGAATGCTTGGAGCAACTTGCTAGAGTCTCCCACCTTGTCCAGTTGGTCAAAAACCCTTCCAAAAGAGAAGGTGCCACAGTATATCTCAAGGGCAGCAAATGTAATTTAATTGACATTAACCCTGTAATAGCAGAAGGGAAAGAAAACAGCCTTACAGAAGAAGCATTAAGCATTTGACACGCTACGTCTTTCTCTTCTTCTAATCTCTCCTTTCTCTTCTTGACAGCATACAGCGCCGGCTGTCTTTACAGTTGCCCATTCTTCACCATGCCTATTTGCCATCCATAGGAGGAGTTGATGCTAGCTGTGCCAGTCCATGTGTAAGCCCCAGTGCCAGTCCTCGGCACAGACATGTGCCACCATCTTTTCGAGTGATGGTTTCTGGCCTGTAGAAATGGGAGATCAGTGCTTCCAGAACTGCTTTTAAGTACTCAATGACTGGACTGAATGTCTGATATTGAACTTGGCTATAAACATACTACTGGCTCTTAACCACTGAGGAACTACTGCTAAGGCAGTCGTCCTGGGAGTATCACTGTAACTCATGTGGAAAGGCAAGAAAGAGAAATATCCAGAGTTTGATCTGTAGCCTTATTCATGGAGTTTTTATTTCTTCACAAAGAAGTAAGTGAAAATATTTCTTCCCAAATTTCTACTAGCAAGATGAGGCTGGGAAATATGAATCTTGCAAAAAAATAAGAACCTCCCCCACTCAGATGTCACTGAGCTTTACACGGCTGCTGAACACGTGGAACTTTACACTGTATCCATGTCAGAAAAATAAAATGGTAGAGCTATAACCTATTTATTGAAATAGATACACTTCATTTTACAAGAGTCGTGTTAAATTGTTGGAAGCATTTTGCACCGGTTAGTCTTGCTTGTGTTCATTTCAGGGATGGTATTATGTGAGAAAGGGGGATTTGGAGAAATGGTTCCTCAAGTGTCATTCAGACTCTGCATTGCTAACAGCAGGAGCCCTATAACTAAAAGCTGTATGGGGGCAGAAGCAGAGCCCGCAGCAACAGCTTGGAGTTGTTACCAGGTAAAGAGCTGCTGTTCTGAGTCAGAGCTCTTTACAGTTCTCCAGGGATAAGATATGGCAATTGCCAGGCTCCAGTGCTGACCATCTGGGATTTCATTTTGACAGAGTTTTTGCATCTATTTCTAAATAAACACATCCAACTGCAAAGCATGGAACTGGCTGGAAAACTCCCAAGGCTGATAACCCAAGAAGGTGAGGACAGATGGGCAGTAAGGACTTAATGTCAAAGGATGGGTTGTTTTTCACAGTTTGTTTGAATTCTGCCACACATAAATACAATACAGTTGAGTGGGTGGGGGGAGGGTTTAGGGCACAGGCCAATTCTACAGTGCACAGACAGTATATACACTACCTTTGCTTCGTACCTGCGTGTGTGACAGTTGTAGCTGGTATAAATCAAGTTTACCCATAGAATATTTTGTTCTAATATCTAAAAAAAAATGTGAAAAAGCACTTGTTTTAACCTCTCTACTGATATAAACTGATGGTTTTCCATATCTGGGATCATACCTTGGCGCTCTTCCCAGGAAATGACAGATTGCCATTAAAATTAGTGGCAAGTTCTCCTACCTGAATCAGATCTTTCCCTCAAATATTAGTGAGGTATGATCCCAGCCGATTCTCCAGTGCATTGGCAATGTGATATCACTGCCATGATCAGTGATTGTCCTAAGCCACATTAAAATATTGTCCAGATAAAAATAAACAGAAGTGCTTAATCCTTTTTAACTGATTCCTGCACACCTCAACCCCTCCAAAATGAATTTTCCATAAGCATTTCTAGAGTAGAAGTGACTAATGAGCATCTTCCAGTACCTGCATAATGCGGAAGGCTCTTCAGTTGAGGGACTGAATTACAACTGGCATAAATCTCTCTTCAAAGTCTCAGAATAGACCAAAACAATCTAAAATATGATACATCAATAGCTTACAAACAGGAGCATCACAAAGTATTTTGCTTGGCACATGGCGTAAGAGAGGGGTTATGGAGGTACCTGTAGCTTGTAGAACAAAAACATGTAAGTATAACACAGGTAAAATAGAACTCATTATTCTGTTTAAGCACTAAACATTGACGTTGTCACTCAATGTGCGTTGACAGTATTCTCTTGCTTTATTAATTTCATCAGGGCCTGGATTATTTTAAACGGAATGTTAATTTTTAAAAGAGAAAAGGACAATATTGTATATAATGTATACACAAACATCTCTGTAGAAATATTATTCCAACATAGCAGGAAAAAAAATCAAAAGTATTGGACTGTTGGAGGTGAGTGTGTGTGTGTCTGTAACTCTTCGTGAATACTGACTGTGTGCCGTTTATTAGGTTTAAAACATGCAGTACATTCTTTGTCTCAATGATCCTGTAGTTTCTCCCATTACACTTTTTTTTTAATTTCCTGCAAATAACAAGACCCACAAAATGAATATAGCTATTTAATGTTTCTGTTCTTTTATACTGCAGCAAAAATGTACTATAAATTTATGAAGAGGCTGTGCCCCAATGGCATTTTCCAATGATGTTAGTGCACAAATGCTTTAAACTAGACTGGAACTGCCAGAATAAAATGTAAATGAGGAATTTCTTGTATAACCTTATACTGCATGAGATCAATTTTTAATAAATTGTTGCAAATCTGTTTTTATGAATAAAATATAGAAAATCTAATTTTGTCTAGCTTGCTGACTCAATCACCCCTCACTTCACAAAGAAACAGTAAAACAATCTATCTGGAGAAGGAGATATTGTAACCCTACATTGCTATATAAAAAAAACTAAATACATACATCCTTGCAGTTTCAGTAAATATGTATCAAGGGGTAAGAGAATTATAGAAATATAGGAGATTAGGGTTGGAAGGGACCTCAGGAGGTCACCTTAGTCCAACCCCCTGCTCAAGGTAGGACCATCTCCAACTATATCATTCCAGACAAGGCTTTGTCTAACCAGGCCTTAAAAACCTCCAAGGACGGAGATTCCACCACCTCCCTGGGTAACCTGTTCCAGTGCTTTATTACTCTCCTAGTGAGAAGGTTTTTCCTAATATCTAACCTGAAGTTCCCGTGCTGCAACTTGAGACCATTGCTCCTTGTTCTGTCATCTGCCACCACTGAGAACAGTTTAGCTCCATCCTCTTTAGAAGCACCCTTCAGGGAGTTGAAAGCTGCTATTAAATCCCCCC